GGAGTTGGAGGTTGCTGTGAGCTATAATGCCACAGCACTCTACCCAGGGGGACAGCTTGAGGCTCTGTCTCAAAAAAAAAAAAAAAAAAAAACCAAACAAAAAAACCCTGTATTTTAATAAGATCCTGTGCTTTCAGTTGGGGGAGCAGAGACAATGAGATGAATGAGAATATCCTGGTGAGAAATGATAAGAACTTGAGCTGAGCTGCACTGAGAGTGGAGAGTTGGGGTCTTTATGGGGAGATCTGGGGGATGACAGAGCAAACATAATTCAGAGCGAAGAAGTCCGATCCGATAAAGTGCACACGGCTGATCTCGTTACATAAAACAAGATCAGGCTAAACTAGTCCACTTTCGGAGACCAGCTAATGATTACCCTTGGGGGCCAGGGCCACGGCTGGAAGGCAGGGCCTCTGGGAGCTGGTCATGTCCTCTCTCTGCATCTCCAATCCTTTACCTGGGTGTGTTCCCTGTGAGTCCTGGAGCTGCACACGTCGGATGTGCAATTAGCTCTGTAATCCAGCCAAAAAGGTAAACAGGGAGACCAAGAAGTTTGTGACACTGCTGAAGTTAGCTAGCTGAGGAGGAACTCTGGCAAAGACAAGAAGACACGGATTGAAGGAAGAACAGGTGTGGAAGGAAGGTGTAACTCAGGCCACATGCTGAGTTCTCTGAGATGCACGGGTGCCAGCTATTACTGTGACGATATTCAGCAAGCTAAGCTTAAGTCATGGATAGATTTGTTAAAAATCACTTATAACAGTGATATTGTAAGTGTGACTGAACCAGATCAATCTGCCTCAGCTTCTAGGAAACAAAGGTGTGAGTTGTTTTTCAGTGGGTGTGGACCCCCAGCTGAAGATCACATAACCGGAGCTTGCCCAGGTGAACCAAAGGTGCAACCTTGGCAGAAACTGAGTGCTCGGCCGAGGACTAGGGACCGAATTGAGAAGTGGACACTGCGAGGCAGAACCCGGTCAGATGGAGCCCCATTACCCTGACTGGAGCCCCAGTCTAACGCCCTATCCAGGGCCACAGTGCTGTGGACCCACCTGCCAGACGCTCCTCACTTGTGCTGAGTAATTAAACCCTCTTGCTATAAGCAACTTGCCTGTGCCTTTCCAGGTGATATCTGCCAAGTAAAGGAACCCCTTCCATTTTGGAGTTTTTTTTTTTTTTTTTTGAAGGGACACATAATTCAAACTAAAACGCTCAACTTTTGCTGGTCTTAACGTCAACTTTTTGGCTTTGTTTTCAACTTTCTTCAGTTATTGAGCTTGGGAAAACCAAATTCACGACGACTTTGGACATGCTGAGAAGGTGTCAGCAGCTTCCCAAACCACCTCTGCACAGACACGGAGCGGACTGCGGCCCTAGGCTTTGCGGGGACCTCTGCTCGCTCGGAAGTTTGCTCCACCAACCGCTGCTCCACGCAGCTCAGTGGCTTAGAAGTTCTGGGGCCCCTCACCCAAGTTCTCCCTCCCAGGATGCCGGACTCAAAGGGAAACGGTGGCGGAGGGCTGTGGAGAAGCCATCACCAGCCTGTGTGTACCCCCAGCCCCCGTTTGCCTTACCCTGCTGTTCTGTGGTTGAGACCCCTGATTCCCCAGGACGGGGGACTCACCAGCCTCCTTAAGCAAAAGGAGTCCTCTCTTGGCCTCCTGGAGGGGCAGCACGAAGGACGTTTTGGCCGTGTGGAAGCAGAACCCGCACTTGTAATTGCACTGGCGAGTGAAGTGGTAGTTGACGCTGGTGGGGGTGGTGGCCGCAGGGATGTCCCCTTCCTCCCCCTCTGTGGGCTCTCCTGGCTCTCTCTGGACCTGCAGCTGCTGTCTCCTCTCGGTGCCTGGCAGCCCAAATGCTGCCCTGAGCCAGCAGAGCAGAGGGACCAGGCTCTTCCACAGGGAGCCCAGGGGCAGCCTGAGCGCGCTCAGCAGCTTCCCAGCGAATGCCGAGGGCTCGAGCATCCACATGGTGCCTGCAGCTGCCCTGCGCTGGGGAGCTGCGCTTTATATGGGAGAGGAAATTAGCAGCTGGGGCGGACCCTGTCACAAGCGAAGCACAGACACACCTTCCCCGGCTAACTCGGAGCTAGTTAGAGTTTCGGTTTTTTTCTTTCTTGAAAATGAAAGTTGGAACAAGGCCAAGAAAGCCGAGGGCTCAGGAGCAGGGTGCCAGCGTCCGGCTCTCTCTGCCACAAGGCCAGCTGGGTCTCTCTCAGGATCACAGTCTGTCAAGCTGAGGTGCTGACGCAGAGCCATCAGTGTCCACCGAGGCTGATGCATAGAGGTACAGCACCCTCTTCTCCTGAAATATCCCCAAACGCCTGTCATCCTGCACACGGGGGTAGTTTGTTTTTAAAGCCAAATCGGGACCAGACTCATTGGCCCAGGAAAGGTGACTGCATAATCATTAGCCTCAGGACCCCTTCCTGATGGCAGTCAAAGGGGCAGGGACATCGTGGAACCTGTGTCTTGATCCCCCTTTGGTTATTCAGCTTCATTTATAAGTTGTGTCACAGTCCACTGTAGCCTGTAGGTTTCCTACATTTCTGTACTGTTTGGTAGACGTTTTCACTTAGGGAAAGTGGCTGTTTTTCTAAGTTGCTTCCTAGCTGCTGACGTCCCCCCTCCTTGTTTTTGCAGTGTTCCTTGATGGCTTTGCTGACTTTTGTCCTGAAATCTATTTCCTCTGAGTTCTCTTTAGTCAGAACTGTGCTCAGGCCTGTGGATTTATGCTTTCAAGACACCTGTAGCTGGAATAGTCTTAGTGTTTAATCTTCTGAAGCCACAAACCCCTAGTTACGTGGCTTCCACTAAGTTGCTTTATTTCTCCGGATCTCCGTCTGCTCATGGGCAAAACCGTATCTCTCCTGAGAATTTCATGTGGAGTAAAAGTGCTAGTTTACGTGATTCACTCAGAAAAATGCCTGGTAAACTCAGAAGTGTCCAGTTAGGGTCAGCTATTGTTATTCTAATAGTGTTGTATTTGGAATGGAAACAGAAATCACATTCCTTTTACTTAAAAGGAAACTGAAAGCAAATTCTGCAAAAGAACAAGCATATATTTGATTACCAGTTATGTAACAATGAATAAAAATGACCCAAGTCCTCCACGTCTTCTTAGCCAGAAATATTTGAAACTCTCATACCGTGGTCTGGCTTAATTGAAAAATACCTTTTGCTAATCACCTGAGCATGAAGAAATGAAAACCAAGTTAGTTTACATTTCAAGTCAAATAGTCCAGACAGCATAGAGGGTAACAGCACAGGCTGTTTGAAGCAAACATGTCAAGGGTTGAATCCTAGTTCAGTCAATAATGTATAATTCTCAGTAAGTGTTGACTCGCTCAATCTTGTGAATACATCTGGGAAACATGGCTAGTGACGTCTCACTTATACAAGGAATTTAAAGACTGTGACATAATGTATCTTAGGCAATGAAAGTAGTTCTTGGTGTAATATGTTATAAACATCTAGCATATACACAGCACTGGATTACAATATAGACACTATATTATTATACTTTGCATGTAGTAACTTATTTCGGAGTGTCAGCTTCGGACACTTAAATCACACAAGGTATAAAGATTGGAACTGGGATTTAAGCGTTTGCAATACTGTGCAATAACTGATGAGTACCATGGTATCTAATTATTGCTCCTAAGTCTACTCTATCTGGGCCAGTTTATTTTATTCATTCATTCATTTATTCGGTTAGATACGCCTTTCTTTCTTCTTCCCTTTCTTTTCTTATTCCTTTCCATTAAGTATTAATGGATCTCCTATGAATCAGATACAAATATTAACTTATTTCACAGTTGAGGACTCTTATTTCAGACAAAGTATAAAGATTGGAACTGGGGTTTAAGTGTTTGCAGTATAGCCCCATATGAACAAAATATGAATAAATAATTCTAAGTCTCTGCCATCAAGGAGCTTACAAAACTCAGCAGTCACTTTGGGGCTCTGAATGTGGGCTCATTCCCTCATCACGTCTCTTTCCTCACCCCATCTACAAGCAGAGGACAGAAGTAGTGGACTTGCTTTGCAACTTATAGAGTTATAGAAGACAGATGCCTTCACGCCCCAGGTTCAGATTTGACAGTTCTACATGGGAATTAAGGACCTCCAGAGACAACTAAAACCTATAGCTTTGACCTATTTTGAACTATGGACAAATTTGCTTGCCTATGGTTCATATTATCAAAATAAATTGGTCTTAATTTCCAGTTCCCTGATGCTAATGATGTCCCTTTTATGTGTTTGTTAGCTATTTGAGTATTCTGTTTTGTGGTGTGCAGGTTCAAATCCTTTGGCCATTTTTGAATTGGGTTTTCTGTATGCTATTATTGATTTTTAGGGACTCATTGTATAGTCACCCTGTTGGTTATATGTAGTTTAATAGTGTTGTGTTCTGAATGGAACAGAATGGAACTTTAATTTTCCTTCAGATATGCAAGTGTGTGATTCATGATTACCAATTATGCAACCATGGATATGATCCAAGTTCTTGAAATCTTCAAGTGTATATATGTATGCACACTTTGTTGGTTAAATACACTGCAAAAATCTTCTCTAACTATCTGGCTTCCCTTATTACTAACTTGCGGGCCTAAAGTTGTAATTGTGTGTGTGTGTGTGTGTGTGTGTGTGTGTGTTTAAATAAGTGAAACGTAGTATCAGTATTTATTTTTCATTTTGCTTGGGTGTGAGTGCACATGTGTATCGTTTCTCACCCTCATGGTTACTAATTTGTTAAAAGGCCTCATCAAACTCAGGAGCAAATTACACTTGCAGCTGCTTATTTCAGGGAGAGGAGGCGGATCAAGAGCACAGGAGAGAGAGTAAGTCACGCAGCTTCTGGAGAGGGCAGACAGATGTCTGAGGCCTTCATTGCCTGGACTGCAGGAGGTGTCCTTTCTCTCCATCAATGAACTACAGGGACATGTTTGGAATTGGCAGCTGAGAAAGCCTTCTTGAATCTCAGGCTCTGGGTTACAGAGAAGGCTGGACATGGAGGCACATTCTGTTGTGTGTCCACCCTGGGGACCAAATCTCAGGACCCCTGTGATGACTGAGTTTGACATCCTTGATCCTGATGTTGTGTAAAATGACCCTTAGGAGTTGGTATGGCGGGGGCGGCTGCTGCAGGTGCACATAGCAGACTCGCCAGTCGTTAAAGTAAATAACCTTTGGACAGCCAGAGTTCCAGGGTTGGCCAAGGACCAATCATGGCTCCAGGCTCCCGTGGAGACACGCAGGAGCTGAGTGCCTGGGCCTCTCCAGTTCACCTCTTCCTCACCCCTTCCTCACTTATTTTTTTATTCAGTCACATATACATAGATCAGCCATAGAAATGCCGTTTCTTAGTGAGACAATCAACTCCACGATATAGTACGAGACCCTTCAAATTGGAAACCCACAAACATGCCGGAAAGAACTTTTATAGAAGAGAAACAGAAAGCTTAGCTAGGAAGGGGCTGGAGGGCTCACCTGTTCCCCGATGAAGAAGTCACCGCAATGCAAAACTTACTGTGTGCTTTTCAGTCCTTTCATCAATTTCCCCTCTGGGATTTCCATTTTAAAATCATGACTCCTTCTTGGCCCTATTTTTCTAATTCTTATTGTCCGAGCTCACTATTTATTTTCTCATACTCAAGTCTATTCATGTGGAGTTGTATGCAATACTCTCTTCCTGGTATCCTTTTCTACCTGTGGCTCTGTCCCCCTATGTATTCCTATTCTGATTTGCATTTTCTTTTTTTCCACTTGAATAAACTACCTAGAAGGATATTTATTTAAACAGGTTTTAAAAGCTAAGCACTTTTACAAAATAAATGTTATTTTAAACTTTGTCATGTATTAATTACTGTATTTACATTTGCTAAGCCTCCATTCCACAGGCTTTATTTCCTATGAGCAGAATGGCTAGAATAGTTTAATGTTTTCCTTATTTGATCTGTAAGTGCTGAAGACTCTGGCTTTTCCTATGACGCCAGCCATGCTGCTCACTCATCCAGAGACACCTCCTCTTAGCATCCTCCCAGCTGGCAGCTTCTCTCCTGTCCACCCACAGGGGCAGTGAGTTTATTCCAGCTGAGACCATCAGAGTCTCTGTGGTAGGAATTTGAAGGGGCTCAAAAGGTGACAGAGATTTTGCTTTTATGAATGACAACATTGTATGTTCAATATCTTCAACACTTATTGAATATTGACGAGTCCAAATACTACAGTATCATTAATTTCACTTCTCCTTGTAGGGCAGAGGCAGGTGATAATGGACAGGAAAACGTAAGGAAAGATACAATGGTAGACAGCAAACTGTGCACCAGGGTAGCTTTTGGTTGGAGGCTCCGGGGACAGTTAGAAAGAAGCTGGACTTCCCACTCCCCCTCAGGATGCTCCGTGCAGTGTGCCAAGTCCTGTGAGACGGAGGACCTTGATGGGGCACAGAGGAGAGGCTGGTAACCCACAGCAACCCAGGTTCAGGGTGAGGGGCTCTAAGATGTATTGCACCTCCCAAATTCATATGGGGAAGCCCTGACCCCCAGTTCCTCATGATCTGACTGTATTTGGAAAGAGGGCCTTTAATGAGATGATTAAGTTAAAATGAGACTGAGAGCATTAGGGTGAACCTGAATCTAATCTGCCTTGTGCCCTTCTCAGAAGAAGGCATTTGGACTTCAAGGAGACACCCTGGGGCATGGACAGAGGCTGGGCCAGGTGAGGACACACTGAAAGGGTAGCTACCTGCAAGGTGAAAGGGAGGCCTCAGAGATAATGAAGCCTCGTGATGCCTTCATCTCTGAAACTTCTGGCCTCTTGACTGTGAAGAAATTAATTTTCTTTTCTTTTTTATTTTTTAAATTTCCAATTAATGTGAAGGTACAAACAATTAGGTGACGATGTTTGCATTTGTTAGGTGGAATGCCTGTTGTAGCTCTGTCCCCCACCCAGGACAAAACTAATTTTCTGCTGGTT